CTTTATGAGAGAGAGTATATTCTGTTGTCTCCAGAAAATTTAATTTAATTTATTATATGTAACTGCCTGGAGTCACTCTGTAAATGAGGTCGGTGGTTTTATATTTTACACACACACACACACACACACACACACACACACACACACACACACACCCCGAAAATAAGACCTCCCTGGATAATAAGCCCAATCAGACTTTTGAACACATGCGCTAAAATAAACCATCCCCCGAAAATAAGCCCTCCCCCCAAAATATTTAAACACATGCTCAGCCGATCCCTGCCATTTCCTGGGGGGGGGGACTGCACACGCGCCCCACGTGCACCTGCCATCCACGCAGAATGGATTCGCAAGGCGGCTCCTGCAAACCCTAACTACCCCGTCCCAAAGGCAATGCTAGGACTGGCAAGAGTGTGCCCGAAACACAACTTCCAGCTCTCTTTGGATCAGCTGATCCGCGGGCCAAGGTTAAGGGACCTCCTGCACCTCAAAAATAATAAGACCTTCCCGAAAATAAGGCCAAGCGCTTATTTTGGGGATCAAAAGAAGATAAGATCCTGTCTTATTTTGGGGGAAACATAGCATATAATATAAAACCACTGACCTCACTTACAGAATAACTCCAGGCAGTTACCTTTGTTATGAAATTCCTTCATACTGGCATACAGTATTTGGCCAACCCAATTAGAGTAGGTTTCAAAAAGAATTATTTGCTTTCTTTAATTTTAATTAAAATAGTTTTGTAATATATACTGGTTTTTATTGTTTTATTGTCCTTCGTATTAGTTTAACTGAATTAATGGTGTTGTATTTCTCCCAGCTGCATACATTTGAAATATATCTTGATAGTTGATGTAGTATTTCTAAATTTCACAGAAAGAATCCTATACATTTCCAGCAATTTAGTCACCCTGGTGATAGTGATTATCATGACTTAGAAGCTTTAACTCAGGTTGATGATGATAGGCCTGAATGTCCTTATGGAACAGCTTGTTACAGGTAAGAATGATCATTTAGAATAATTTCAAAGTTTGGATGATAAATATTTCACTGGCATGGTATGTCATTGGGAGATGCCAAATATACTTTCTACTGATTGACTCAAACGTAGCACATATACAGGTATTCCTTGACTTACAACAGTTCATTTAGTCTGTTCAAAGTTACAGCAGCATTGAAAAATATGACCCTTTTCACAATTAGCACTTTTGCAACATCCCCGTGGTTATGTGATCAAAATTCAGAGGTTTGGCAACTCATTCATATTTACTAGCATTGCTGTGTTCCAAAGTCATGTGATCACCTTTTGTGACCTTTTCACAAGCAAAGCCAGGGGGAAGCTACATTCACTTAACAACCGGGTTACTAATTTATCAACTGAAGTGATTCACTTAATAACTGTGGCAACAAAGGTCACAAAATGGGGCAAACCTCATTTAATTAATGTCTCACTCAGCAACAGAAATTTTGAGCGGAACTGTCATAAGTTGAGTACCACCTGTTTTTATGGAAATTGTGTAAACTTTTTACCTGGATAAACATGATTATCTAAGTTGTTATTAAAGGTTAACTACAATGCAAAAAATAAAATCTAAAATACAAGATTTCAAATCATAGAAAAAATACCAAAGCAAAAAGCAGTGAGGACCATTCACCCAACCTGTTGCTGGAAGATATTATAGCAGTTGCAGTCAAATACTGCATGAGTGAATCCAGCTAGACACAAGTGAGAGCCTTTGTTGGAGCCTACCTCATGACAATAAGAGTAGTGAGAAATGCTTATTTCTCCATCCTTATTGCATTTTCCAGGTGTTGGCCAGTAGCCCTGTTCAGAGCAGCCCAATCCCTTCTGAGTTAGGTTGGATTGGTGGAGCATCTGCAAGGTCCCTGTGCTGAGTGTTCTTCATACCTGAGAGATAAAATAGCTTAAGTTATTTGTTCAAGTAGAGTTTTGCTATATATTCCAATTCTTTTGGTTCTAGGTCCTACTTTTAATTTACAGTTTATAGCAAGAAATTATCTTTTACAAAGAGTGTTGGTGGGCCATATTTTAAAAGCATAAGTTCCATAGGATACATTTTTTAGCAATGTGTATTACAAATGACAATTATCTAGTTTTTAAAAAAAATTAAACAGCTGCTTAACTCCAATTCAAAGCTTTTTAAAACTTGATTTTACATTGTGGCTTTTCTATATGACGTATCTGGGATGATGCTCTTTTACAAAACAATGATGAAAATTTTTAAAACTTTGGAATATTTTAGCTGAAAGCTAACCCTTTAGAGCACAGGTGTCAAACTTGCGGCATCATGTTGCTGTCATGCGATGTTTTCCCCCTTGGCGGACTTGTAGGCGTGATGTATCTGGCCCGCAGGTTGTCAGTATAACACCCCTGCTTTAGAGCATGTGCTACTGGGTAGAGTTCTTGTCTGTCCCTTCAGTTTTGTTTTGATTTCCATATCTATACTATCTGGAGTCTTCTTTTTGTTTGCCATTTTTGTTTTTGGTGTCATGCAGAATTTGTTGATTCTTTTTATCTCTGGAACATTAACTTTTTATTGACTTTCCTGTGGAGGAAATTTTGTTACACTGAGGTGCCTATGGCAACAAGAATGCCTTTCAGAAAGAGGGTCTGAAAATTTTCCACCACTAATGAGCATTCATTTTGCTTCATTGATTTAGCAGAAAGACACAGCCAAGGCTGTGTTTCATTACCAATAGCTCACTAAAAAGGTCACAGTGGATTGTTCTTCTTAATTCCCAACATAGGGAATAAGTCTTTATCATGACTTCAACAGCTTTGGATTCCATAATGATAATTTCAGTACAAAAGTCATCTAACTGACCTTCTATCGTGATCCTCAGCAAAGTTGGGTTTAATCGTTCAAGCCTCAGTAGATGATATTCAACCATCCACACTGGGCAAACCTATTTGTTCTTCCTTCAAAGCTGAAGAACAGCAAGTCAAACTCACATACCCCCTCTCCCCCCACAAACCTATTACATACCTTGCCAGCAAATAAAAATTCTCCATTGCTTTATTTGGGGAGCCTTCAATAATGCCAAAAATCAAGGGAGAGCAGTTACTTCCCTTGCATTCTGGGCACACTATTTTGGTTGCAGGCCTCTAAGAAGACTAACATATTGCAATCCTCCCCCCACCCCCCATGGCCGGGCCCAATTACTCTTCAGAGAGTAATCTTAGTCATAGGAGCCTATGATAGATGGAGAAATACTTAGAAGCTTTACCAGTAAAGATGGAACTAGCTAAAGTTGCCACTCCCCTAGGAAATGAATGACTCAAAAGTTATTTTTTTCAAAATGAGAAAATCATATCTCCAGTATGATTATAGATGAAGAATTGTTTGCTTTGTCTTTTATTTTTTATTTTCATTTGAAACTTTAGATAATCAGATAGAAAACTCATGTTCATCTTCTCTAACTGTTTCTCTTTGCAGAAAAAATCCACAGCACAAGTTGGAATATAAACACACAACTCCTCCTGGTAAAGTGCTTTTATTCTAATGTATATGAAGAACAGATCTTTCTTAATGTAACTAATGAGGTAAAATACTAAAGACTATGCCATGGTAGTACTATGGAAGTGTTGTTGCTTCTGTAGTATGGTGCAATTCTGCTGGAATGGGAATTGATGTGATTTTGGAAGTTCAAACATTTCTTATTATAGTTCAAGTAGTTTGATTTGGCTTTTGACTATAAATTAAACAAAAAAGCTCTTCTGAGCTACCATACATTTGAATTAGTAGAAGCACTTTTAGGTCCAATGGTTAAGCCAAACAAAATAATTTGTGGCAAAACTGTTAATTTTCCCATCCAGCAGAGTATTAAATCAAGCAGATTTAAGGACTTATCCATAAGTTGGCAGAATGTATTAACTAAGCTATTGGCAAGGGAGAAGGATAAGCTGGTCAGTTATGATAAGAATGGAGAATTATATTTAAAATATATTGAATTCTGTTGTCAAGGATGAATTGCTTCAGTTTTAACCAACCTTTCTTAGAACTAAATGAGGTAGCTGTTAAGCTATAAAATTTAAAGTTGCTATAGATTACTAACTGCCTTCCATAATAACATAAATTTACAAGGTTAAAGAACTCAGGCAACTGTGAATGAAAACTAATATGAGGCAAAATTTTAGGCATCAAAGCTGTATATGAGATTCTACAAAATTAGACTAGATTCTAATCTTAATGTGGAATTAGATACTCAGCAGGGTATTTTTGCAGCAGGGATTTAAAAAGCTAAATTGGACAGTTTTGATGTAATTAAATTATGGTAACACATTTGCACTCCATATAAAATATCACTGATATATTAAATAGAATTACACACTCAGATTTTATTCTTCTTGTGACTGGAGTAAAACTATTGCAGTATCAATATATAAAAAAGGAGTTTGCTGTATATAGTAAGAAAGATACAGGGGCAACTTTGGCAGGTGGAGGAAGGGTATAAAAATCAAGATGAAGGGTATGACAGCCTTTTTTAAATATGGGATGAGATGTATGAAAAAGGAGTGGGACTTTGATTATATAATTTTTGTTGCCAGGATGATTTTGTTATTGGCCTCACCTGTGTGAGTGTCTCTGGCCAGCTATATTCCAGTCATGTCCATAAAAATAGCTTGAAAGTAATAAAGTATGAATTTGCCATGTTAGAGTAGAATATTTCACATCCTTAATCCCAATAAAAAATCCCAGTATGAAGCAATAATGCATCTGGGGCCCTTTCCTTTTTGCCATAAATCTTGACAAAATTTGAGTAATACAGTCCCCTAGTAGTAAGAGGCAAAAAGATCTGTTTTGGTTCTTTCATTCTGAAAACACGTCAATCTCCTTTACAACCTAAGTTGACATGAGATGAAGTCTGCAAGCTTACCCTCTAAAGTACAGAAGAACAACTAGTTGTCAACTGTAATAAAAAGAAAACAATTGTTTTCTCCCAAAGTCCTATCATCTGCTGTTTCCTGTAAAAATCAGTGGTGTTATTATCAATTTTAAGTACTTAACATATTTCTTTTCAGGTATGAACAATCAAGTTCATCCAGGCCAAGAGTTGTCATCACTTCCCATGGTTTGAATGCTGTCTTTCAGTGGGCTAATTGCAAAGCAATGTTTACATCAGAGCTCCAACTTCTTATTTTATAGTCACATGCATCTCATGAAATTTGCCCTTTGCAGGGTTTGCTTCTTTGTAAAGTGTTTAGAATGTACACTAAAGATTAAATATCACTATGGATGCATAAGGTGATTGATTTATTGGGTAAAAAAAAATTGAAATAGGAAGAGTCCTGATACAGAACATGTTTGGCTGTTCAGTGAACCAAAGTAATAAAGAAATTACAAAGCCCTCTTCCTGAGATTTGGTGGCAATATGAGAATGGTTAGAACTCCTCCAAAGAGGTGCAGATAAGTAGGAGAATTTTTACAGGTGTTCTCTTTTAATTTTCAGTTTTAATAAAATCATAGCGGTTTGGGTTGTTTTATTGGTAATAATTTCTTTTTGTTTTCTCTAGAATCTGATAGAAGGCAGAGATCAAAAGTTACAAGAAAAGGTGAGATTCTGTACTTTTTCAAAAAGCATTGGCCTATAAGCATAGGGGGATTCAGTAATTAGCTTTGCTCACCATCCTACCCGATAAATTAGTATGAAAATTACTAAATCCCTCATTGTAAAAAAAAGATAAAATGGCTTTGAGGGGAAGTCCTAGTTCGTTTATATAGATGATACTGTTCAGAGCCCCTATAAAATTAGATAGGAAGTTCATTTTTCTCAGTATCCTAACTTTATATGGATGTGCTTTGTACAGGTAGTCCTCAACTTGCAACCATTGTTTAGTAATTGAAGTTACAATGGCACTGTTGAAAAAAAGTGACTTATGACTGTTTTTCATACATAAAATTGTTGATCTCATGATCAAACTTGGGGCACTTGGCAACTGGCTAAATTTATGACAGTTACACTGTCACAAGGTCATGGAATGACCATTTGTAATCTTTTCAGCTAGCTTTTGACAAGCAAAGTCAATGGCAATTCATTAAACAGCCACATGGTGATTCAGTTAACTGTGACAAAAAAGATCATAAAATGTGACAAAACTCACTTAATAACTATCTTGTTTAGCAATGGAAATTTGGGGCTTGATTGTGGTCATAAGTCGAAGCTTAACCTATATACCTTTAAATAAATTCCCCTTATGTGAATAATGATATATTTTAATCTATTAAAAGAGATCAACATTTTTGTAAGTATACCAGTTCTCAGGTAAAAAGAGATTAATTTATTTTAATGTAATGCTTGGATTTGACATTTGATTTATTTTGCAAGCAGTCTGTGTAACAATAATATGAAATAGTGACCTTTTTAAATATGTTTCTTGTGGTTTTGTAAACTAAGCTATGAAACATCTTATAAAAATGACCTATAATGTACCCAAATATCCACAATGCATATAACTTTTTAAAGTAACTTGCTAATTGGCACACATGATATTAATTTATAAAATTTATTTATTTAACTGAGTCTAAGAAGGATGAGAATTAACTTAAAAGTTATATGGTAAGAATGAACAAATATTTTCTAGAAGTGGGACAAACTTTTTGAAATTTGCTTATTCTGATAGCTGAAAAAGTTGTTGCAGTAAACATAATCAGATAACTGCATTGCTGCTGATGTTTTTTTTTTTAAACCTGCACCCATGACTTAATCACATAATTTACTTTCAGGAGTATGATTTTTAGAAAGAGAACTACTGTTGTGCTAGAGAAATAATTACCCATGGCAACTTGAATTCTGCAACTTGAATTCAGGTTATATCAGACTACAAAGTTGACATCCCTGTAGAAAAAGAACACAAAACAAATAACTTTGGATCATTTTGTCCAAAGAAGGATCATTATATAAGAATAAGTCTGCAACAGAGATGGTCAAAGGATTTACAAAAATTGAGTTTTATTATTATTTTTAAAAGTACAGTATATTAGCAATTCAGTAGTTAGCTATTATAGATGCTTCAAAGAAGTAACATTCAAATACAGCTAGATAAGAAACGTTTTGTTTCTAGAAAAAGAAACAAAAATGATTATATGAGATTATTTGTTTCACTCTGCAGAGGTAAAGAAAGGGACAGTTGCTCTTGAAATTGTAAAGCAGGCAAGAAGGGGAAAGAAAAGTATGCTTTTTTATATTCCATTTAAATACTGGTACTGTAGAGGAAGCAGTGATCCTGTGGTGAGAAGAGAGGCAGACAGACATATGAAAGGATAGAGAGGGCAGAAAAAATAGTGAAGTGAAGAGGTCTTGATTACATTAGAATGCAACAAAGAGGAGTTGGAGTTTTTCATCATCCAGCATACAAGATGTTCTCTTTTCTAAGATAGTAGAAGATGTAATCACATTCTGTCCCCGATTGCCTGTTCTTGCCAACTATATTGTTTCAGGAAAAATGATAAATGAAAAATAAAATGGGATTACCGGAGCAAAACTGTGATCAACTCACTCACTTGTCTACTGCTTCCCAGTGTTTCTTCTGAAGGTTAAAAAGCTTATCAAAAGCTAGAGCTGATGTTTTGCATTTCATATAGTCGTTTTCAAATGTTCTTGGTAGAACTATGTGAACTGGCTAAAGTCTCTCTTAGTCCTGCCTCAGTAGTTTTGCATTATATATTGTGATACAAGAAATTGAAAATGCTATTCTTAGGAATGCTTCAAAGAGTTTTCATTCCAGGATATCTGACTTATATGTATATTTAGAGGGGGGAAAAATCAAATTCATGTTGGCACACTTGAGAAATGGAATCATTTTTGTATACAGGGTAGACTTAACGACCACAATTGAGCCTAAAATATATGTTGCTAAGTGAGATATTTCTTAAGTAAGTTTTGCCTCATTTTATGATCTTACTTGCCACAATAGTTAAATGAATTATTGCAGTTGTTCAGTTATCAACACGTTGTTAAGTGAATCTGGCTTCCCCATCGACTTTGCTTGTCAGAAGCTTGAAAAAGCTGATTATGTGACTGGGACACTGCAACCGTCATAAATATGAACCAGTTGCCAAGGAGCTGAATTTTGATCACATGACCAAGGGGATGCACATTTTAGTGCCATTGTAACTTTGAATAGTCACTAAATGAACTGTTGTAAGTTGAGGACTACCTGTATAGTAATTCTCTTTTTTTTTTAAGGAGAAAAGGAAACTAAAATTGACAAAAAAATTAAAAACAGCTTTGACTAACCCAGTATAGTACAATATACACATACCTTGAGGCTTCTCATATAAATGAGATTTTTCTAAATATGATGATAATATCCCATCTATTACATTGCATGTGTAAGGTCTCACTATCATTAGCACTTTTGTTATTTTGTTTCAGTAGTTTTTGAACTTCTGATTTGTAAAGTGGAGCTTGAAACAAACGAAAGACATTGAGATTAAAATATGCCTTTAGGGCAATAATTTATTGCCTTTCATAACACTAGACCACAAGAAAACTGAAAGGAATTTCATGGCCATCTGTGTGGAATAGTGACAATCTATTCAATTTGCTTTTGTGCATAAAAATAAATTTTCAAATTTGTTTAGAAATTGGGATAAATTCAAATAGACTTTCCAAATCAAAATGTGAGTGATTTGCAATGAAGATCATTAAAGCTGGAGTGATCACACTATCAAGATGAGATACCAGTGGACTTGTTTTCTTGTTTCACTAAGCAGATTGAAGAGGCCAGGCTCCAACAGTTTACTGTACATATTTTCATACATTCTTAATAATAACTTTTTTCTCACCTGTTCAAATTGTGTTTCCGTATTGGTAGAAAAACATATTTACTTGTACATCAAGTATGAACTTGTAAAATTCAGTTCATAAGACAGGGTACATTACTATCATTTTGCATTGGACATTAAAACCCAAGATTTTAATTTTTTATTGTTGAAAATTATATAGTAAGAAGTGTTCTTGCGGATGAGAGTGATGATGATGGTGAAGCAAATGAATACAACTTGAATGACAGTTTTATAGATGATGAAGAGGAGGAAGAGAGTGATCCTACTGATGAAGATTCTGATTGGCAACCAGATTGTCAAGACAATGATGGTGAAGATATGGACATGCTTCTCAAAGAAGCACAGAATTTTGTTAAAACCAAGAATTAACGATATTCAAATATTTTGATAGAGTTTATAAAGCATCCTTCACAATATGAAACATGTATCCCATTAGGTGATAATGTCACTTTTTAAATAGTGACTTACTTTAATTTTACTTTATAAAATGGGATTATATATGTACATTTCAAAATTTCATGACTCCATAGCTGATAATGCTTGTGAAAAAATCTTATGTGTTAAGGAGTACACTTAAGATTGCTGGATTAATATCATTTTTGTAGTGATAGGTGTGACTTTGTGATTTAAAGTGATGAATGCTTTCCTAAACTTTGTATTAACACATTTCATTGCATAGATGGATAAATAATAACTTCATATTGGTAATGGCACTGATTTGGATTTCATGTCTTTATTCTATCACTGATAATAAAACTAAGAGTAACTGCACTTTTTGTAATATGTTGTTTAACATTGCAAGTGATATTATTTCTATTTAAGAAGAAAGTATATAAATTTATTCTGAAAGATAATTATGTGCCCAATCTCTTCAATATTTTAATTTCTCTGAAGCAATGTTCGAATTATTACATTCAATTGGCTGAAGCTGAAACAAATCCTAATTTGATCAACTTTACACTGCAACATCATAAAATGTCTGAATTGCACTTTGAATCTGATGTATGCAGATAACAAATATGAATATCAAGAAAAGATTCCATCTGTCATTTGCCTCTGGCAGATAGTGTCCAAAGTGCAGTACTTTCTTAAGTCAGAACTGTATTGCTTGACCCTTATAGTTATGAATCTTAGCTTTAAAGAGCCAAGAGTCAGTAGCTCTTCATGTCTTGTGTTAAACCATAGTATGATTTGTATGGTTTTGGCACCTCATGTTTTGCAAATGCAGCATTTCTGGACTTTGTGGCTTGGAGTAAGGTGGGAATCTAGCCAATGTTTCATGGACTGTTTCCAAGTTACAAAAAGAACACTGCAAGCTTTATTTTATTTGAGCTTTATTTTCAAAGCTTTTAATAGTGGTTTTAAAAGGTATGGACAGTTTATTGTTTATTCTATTTAACTCGTGGGATAAAATAAAAGAAAATATAGTTTATTCTCCCATTCCCATCCCCAATTCTAAAACACTATTACAGTCGGGACAGTTCCATTTGTACCTTTTGAAAAAATCAAAAAGAGAAGTAACTTATAGTAATATAGGAGAGGAGCAAATAAAACAACAGTTGTCTCGTATAGGACGGAAGATATCAGAAATATAAGATACAGAGGCACAATTAGAAAATTAAAATTGCCCCAACATAATAGAGTATGTTGCCCATTTTAATTGGCTGAGACAAATCAACATTAATTGCCCAGTTTGTATCAGCTTATTGAATATTATTTAGGACTCAGAGAAATTTGAATTTGAATAAGATTTTAAGTCTATTTTTCTTTTGTTAGAGGATTCCCTTTTTATAACAGGTTCCGGATACATTGTGATCTTTTATCCTCATTGTAAATTCCTTCTATGGTTCTATTTAGGCATTTGAAGAATCATTCAATTTCTCATGAAATATTTCTGAATATATAATATGGTACATAAAACAATAATGCATTGATAGGTGGAAAAGATGCCAATTTAATGCAGTACATTTTTTAAAAATAGTTCTTAGCTAGGAAATTAAATGCAAAATCAGAATTCATAACACTAAAATGCAGCTTTTAAACCTAATAGAAATAACTCAAGTCATTTTGGAATGTTCAGTATGGCTGCACAATCTGGTTTGTTAATATACGTAGTATTTTCAGCAGAAAGAAAAATGATTCTGTAGCCAAAATTTTTAAATAAATGAACAACTGAGAGTAAATAAATAAGCTGAACATGTAGAAAGTAAAATCTGCCTCTTCCAATAGGCAGTTTTATTTTATACAATGAAATATCAAAGGCAGTTTCTTTCAAATAAAGTTATGTGATAGGAGCTATATTTGTAATATGAAGGAATAAAAAAGACATCTAAAAATACAGTGAATTGAAGTGAATCTCATCACATCTCATTATTGAATGGAAATCTAGGCTGTGTTTAATTTATGCCCCCCCCCCATGGGATTAGGTCCATTTTTTTCCATTGGAGAACATTTCCTAGGAATTTTATGCTAAGATAGAGGAATAAACATTTAGCCTAAAACCTCTAAATATTTCAAACTATTATTGAGTCAATTAACATTAATTCTGATTAACTACCATTTACCAAAAAAATAAAATTACATCACTTGTGTAAAAAAATAAATTAGAATGGAATTTTCTGGTTTATCTATAAAACAATATAAGACTCATATCCACTGCCTAATTAACTCAAATATGTTTTCAAATTTCTAATGAAGCAACTTTACAAGATTCCTTTTAAACATATATCTCATGGAATAATTTGTCTTAAATTCCTAAATATCTAGGTGCAGAATGACTGAGGAAGGATTAACTAGGCAGAAAGGAAAGATGGGAGCAAAAACTGTTATTTATGTGATGGAATTAGCACATACAATTTCATTGTGTAAATGTGTTTTAAAATGGCTGCTAGTAATTCAAAGTTTGGTCAGAACTGATTGTACTCATCTAATCATGTTATTAGAGCTGGGCTTTTCAAACTTCTTCATTTTGCAGAAACTGTTTGTTAAAACAAAAATCCTCAGAACCTCTGTTTAAAAAAGTGAGGCTTCTGAAAGTTAGCTAACAAGCCTTCCCCTTTCAACTAAAAAAAGTCTCTGCAAAGTGATGGAACAAAACCATTTCTACAAAGAACTAAATCTTTGTCCCTTGTGGAGAAATTTTTAAGAGTTCCTTTAAAAAACTCTCTTAATTTTCCCTGTCTTAGTTCCTTGCAGATAATTCCCCTTCCCCTAGTTCCTAGTTCCATTCACGATCTTGTGGATCCCTAGGCTTTATGAGACCCAGGAAACAAGCAGCTATTATACTTTTGGAAAGGTGTCCTGGCCTGAACTTAGGTATGGTGAGAATTAACTTTATTGTCAGAAGTGTTCCATCATTTTAATTGATTTGGCAGTTTTAATATCTTTTGCAAGAGGGCTTTGTCTAATTCAACAGCTTCATACTGAGAGTGTCAGTCTTGGGAAAGTGTTTTATCTGAAAGAAAAGGAGCAATATCACTCACAGATAAATGGGTCATAGATTATGTCTATCAACTCTTCCTTGCATGGTTGGTTTTATATAATTAAACATAAGTATTCCAAGACAAAGAAATTTATATACTTGACTTTTAATATTCCTACAGATAACATCGCTATCTATCAGCTGTTAATTGCAGTGTTAGTCTTCATTGTTTTGTGGGCTCTATAATGCTTTTGCAGTGAAGCCTGGAACTTGACTTTGGTGCTCAATGAAGCCTGGAACTTGACCTAATATAGTATATAAATTTTAATTTTCCCTCCCATCTTCTGCCCCATAACATTCATCATTTATTAAGGAGTGTTGGCTTTGAGTTGCACTTTTTGTTGGGTCCTTTTGCAGGAAGATGTGATTCTTTTATTAAGAGAAGGGGCAATTACTTTTCAACAAAGCACATTTTCTCTTTCCCCAGATAAGAGCAAGTCTGGTTTTGCAATATTGATTTCTGTGGTCTCACTCTGACTTTTATTAATGCTGATAAGCAGCTGAATTTCCTGATGCTTACAACCATGACCCTCTGGGCTCTCTTTCCTCCTGTGCCTTTCCATGAATTTCTATAGCACGGAAAGAAGTGACCAAGAGAACTGCTGTGATCAATTTCCATAAGTGATAGTCCTACTGAAGCAAATCACAACTAACAATTTGTTATTGGATAGGGTGATCTGTCAAGATGCTTTCAGCTAACTAGTATACTTTTTTAAAAAAAGAAATCTGCTCATTGCTAGATTTGCAGAATTTGGGTAATAATGGAGCTGAAGCAACCATAGTATGTGCACAGTGTTCTCAAACTACATGTCCTTTGCTCTTTTACTTTTACTTTTTCTACTTTTGAGTGGGATTTCTTGCATTTGCCCATGTTGTACAGAAAATAGCAGAAAAATGTAGGTTTACATTTGCTGTCTTGAATGTGTGTGTGTGAGTGAGTGAGTGAGAGAGATTTTAACAGGAATAATCTTTGAAATTAACTTTTCTGATAACATGTATTCATTTCTCCATCTCATCACAATTCTCCAACCTTCTGATGATGATGGACTTCTTAAAGCTGTCACAAAGAACCCCACATTTTGTCTCTTCAACCCGATCTTGACAATATTTTTCACCACTTCATTTGTGTGAAATAGATGCTTCATGAAAATATTTCTTCAGTTTGGGGAAAAAGTGGAAATAGCATGGTGCCAAGTAAGAACTGTATAGGAACGGGGTAGGACACTGAGTTTCAACTTTATGATTACCTCTTGGGTGGACTTGCATTCTATAAACTGACATTTTCTTTCTGGTTCCTAGTGATGAACTGAAGTTTCCCTAGTGTCATGATTCACCATCTTCATTCTTGTAGCATGACAACAATTGGTGGCAAATCATCGGCTTTTAAAGATTTTATCTCTACTGTCAACATACAAAGAACCCATCTTGCACAAAGTTTCTGATATTGAGACATCAATAATGTGACCCACACATTTCTGTGAACTTCCAAGCTTGACAGTTTCTCTGAGTGATGCACTGACTGTCCTTAATCAGTTAATATTTCTCATATGAAACTCATTGATTGCTGTCAGAGATCATCTGCTTGGCTTTTAATCACTTATCATCTCTTTCCAATTTAATATCTTGGCATTTTGTGGTTCAGCAACACACAGAACAGAAGTCAACACATCATCACTATAAACAAGCTGTATTTACCAATGAGTTTCAATTGTAGTGATTTATTCAGCACTCAGTCATAGTATATTGGTTAAAGGGTTCATTCCCAGTTTCCATTTTATTATATTATAATAGCAGCACAGCCTTTTCTTACAATGTCCCACCCACTATCTGTTGGTAGCATATAATGCTGGAAGCATTACTTTTCAGTCAACCCTTGTAAATTTTATGACATACTTTTGCAACAATTGAGGAACATAGCCATTAGACAAAGAAGTAAATTGAGGCCTCTATAAAAGACAGGCGAAATTGAAAGGCACAGTCACAAGAAGTAAACTTTTAGAGCTGCAGTTCTCCACTTTCTTTTCCAAATACAAAATAAAGAGGAAAATGTTTATTCCTTCCTTTCAAGTGGCTTACAAATATTAAAAAATATTCTTAACAGGAAAGGGAACGGAAATGGCTATTTTTAAAGGATATGTATGTGTCAGGTGTGATCAATCAGATCCATATATGAAGAGTTCAGTTACCTGTTTTATTGCACAAACCTATACACAGGAATCTTCTCGGATTGATAATTTGCACCTGGATAAGACTAGATAAGGTTCAAAGGCATTGAAGGTTGAACTTCACACACTTGTGCCCACGTAGGGATTCCAAATTATTTCCCTATTTGACTCCTCTCCTTGGCTTGGCCAGTCTTTGTTCAACAGAATA